CATCATGGTACAATTTAAAATTCGGTAATTGGAATCCACCTCTTTCCTTTGCATCGCACAGGATCTTCATCTTAATCCTTGGTTTTTTTCCAGCCCATACAAATTTTGAAACCTCTTTCTGCCAAGAATTTAAAGTCTTTGAGTCTTTCACAATTGGAATAGTCTGAAATAGAAACATCAAACGCGGTAAAATATTCATTTTAACCACTGAGATTCTACCCATTAACGACAAGTTTAAAGTGTTCCATTTTTTATATATCCTGTAGAATTTGAAGCCAGAGTTTGTCATATTTATTCTTGAAGAGGTCAATATTCTTCATTGTCAGTTCAATACCTAAGTATTTTGTCTTTTTGACTACTGCACATTGTGTTAACTTCTTTAATTCGTCTTACTTCACACCAGTCATATTTTTACACATCACCTTGGATTTATTTTTATTTACATAAAATCCCGCTAAGTCTCAAAATTCTTTTATTTTCTCTATAAGCAACGGTAGTTTTTGTATAGGATCCTCTACCAAAAACATTACATCATCCACAAAAGCTCTATATTTATAGGAAAACCCTTTGTTAGATAGTCCTTTAACCTCTTTATTTTCTCTAATCCGTCCAAGTAAAATTTCAAAAATCCATATAAATAATAATGGGGTACTCTTGAGTGGTGGCTGATGGGCCAATGACTGAGGGAGTGCATGGAACATTGCCACTCAAAAACAGAATTATATATGAGGAGAGATTACAAATGGGCATAATACAAGTGTATCTTGCCGAATTAGTAAAAAGTAGACATAATCCATATTCATGATAACACTCTTATTCTATATTATTTGCAGTTCTAGCAGATGTCAAAATGAAAGGGCAAATAGTTCTTTGGTCAGCTTTGCTTCATATATCTGCATCAAACTCAGTTTACTAATGCATCAATTACCTGTCATATCCATTTGAGACATGTCTATCTCAAGTACCTGCATTAAAACACTATTTATAATAAAATTAAATTAATATTGTCAGAAGTATCATCCTAAGTCTGGGACACATACTAATGAGTTCAATAATATCCTTGAATTCCTTTTTGTCCAAGGGTTGGAATCCCTGTTTGACTCTTATTGCACTTTCTCCGTAGATATGTTGTTCCATATCTAGAAGTTCCTTAGGCTAGACTATGTTCACTAAGGCTTAAAAAATATAAGTAAAGTTAGCTGGATTATCTATCTATTGGTTATCAGTATCTGCACAATATGTATCAATCACCAAACAGTGCCATAATTTTAAACAAATTGATGTGATTATAAAGGCTTGCAGGGCTTTTTTTGTAGAAAAAGCCCAGCAGGAACTCATTAGCATAATAGGCCACACCAAAGAGTAGAAACTCATTAGCATATTTGGCCACATCCCCATGCTTTCCCTTGGCTTGCCTAGGCAAGTCAGTCTTTGGACAGGCCGGGGAAGGCACAGGGAGGTATTTAAATGCCCCCCCCCCAATCCTTCCAGGCCCCCCCAGCCCCCCCGCCTCGGGGTCGCTGAGGGGGGAGGGGTCATTCTCCAGGCCTTCCCCTCTGTAGCCACGCACGCAGAGGTTTTGCCTGTAGTGGGCGTGGCCAACTCTGAAGCCAACCAGAACTCCGTTCCTGTGCGTTCCTGCCCAAAAATAGCCCTGAAGGCTTGTTGGATCCTAATCCTTGCTTCTGCTTGTGCTGCACTGTCTTCCATTGCAGGAGTGGAATATCTGCTGCAGAGTGTTTATCTCTTGTGCTAGTGTTAGAGTCAACCTCTGGTATCTAGTCTGAGGACTCTGTATTCACCAAAGAGTAGCCATTTTATGTACCAAGTTTCCCTGTAGTTCTAAACACACACGCACAAACCCTTTTTCCCCCATCAGACTGCCTTCAAGAGATGGCTCTTGGGATGGAATACAAGCATGTAAGGGAGAGTTTTAGAGGCCCAAGGTCAATTGCCCACATTCTCCACCACAATGTTAGCTATAAAATTATCAGTCTGTGACTCATGGGATCCTGACTCAAGGGAACTATTTTGCACCTTTCTAAACAACCGTGATAGGTTGGCCAAACATCACAGTACTGGAGAGGTAGCAACCTTTCCGTTGCTCCACAGATGTTCTAACACAGAGAGATTAAAGGTTAACAAGATCTGTCAAACACCCAATTCAGAGCCCAATTCAGAGAAATGATCCATAGCACATATTACATACAAATTCGTTCAGAACATCTCCTGTGATTTTACTGCAGGTCCTTTCATACCAACATTTAACATAGCAAAGACACCATCTTACTCACATGCTACCACTGATGAGGTGCTTAGGAGTTCACACAGCAAAGATGATGATGAAGCCCCCTGAAATGACTGTTAGCACCTGGTGACTCTGCCTGAGATGCCAGTGCACTTGCTCTAAGAGTACCCTGGAATGATTGCGTTGGGACCCCGCAACTCAGCCTAGGATACTAGCTCCCAGCTTCTACTAATGCACCACTAGGCTCTCTCAGTAAGCCAAAAAGTACTTAGCACTAGAGAAAAGGCTGCTCAACAAAGAACCATTTCCACAACGGATAACAAGAACGGGGAAAGGAAGCAAGAATCAAGGCTATTACATTAACATTAATTAAAATAGTTAACATTAAAATACAGCATGCTTGTTCCCTTTGAAAATCTCTGAAGGCATTATTTTTTAAAAAATAAACTTACTTGACTGGCTGTACAGTTTGATAAGCAGGTCTTATTATCTGAAGCAAGGTAAAAGTTGGCAGGACAGGCACACATATGTGTTTTGCCCGGAGCAAGGAGGCACAAGTGACTACAGCCACCATTATTTATTTTACACATATGTTTAGGCACTATAAAAGGAAAAGAGAAAACAATTCATACTTACTAATAAAGATGGGGAAATCAATAGAGTAATTTTTCCTGCTATAGAAACCTCTGGTAAACTAAAGTAACCAATTCACTTAAGAAGGCTTTTTTGTAGTACAATTCCTGGGAATAAATGACAATGCAACAATGTCTTTACGTGTGTGCGTGCGTGCACGTGCACACACATGAAAACTATTTGCCCTCCTTTTTATTCTCTGGATATCCAATGAGGATTTATTAGAGACTCTGTGAGTTCACAAGGAATCTACATGTCTACCATGAAGTCATACCAGACCTAGGCTGCCACCACCTCCATCTTCCCTATCACACCTCAGTCTTCACTACAAAGATCGACACAGCTGAAGAAGAATTGAGGTGATCATAAAGCCAATGAAGGTTGTTGGTGTGGACCTAGCCACCAAGTCAGACCTTCACATAGGTCTAGTGAAATTCAGGTGGTGAAAGAAGCAGCGGCTGTACTATTGACTCAGGTCTGGTATGACTGGAGTTCTCCAGAAACAATTTGGAACGTGGAATAATAAACCAAATGTCTAGGGGGCATGTTCGTCTTGTATAGATATTTCATTAAAATTTTGAGCCCAAGTATTGCTTAATTAGAAAAAAATATGTTGTGCTTTGCCATGCAGAAATCTGGTTCCTGTTTCTCCAGGATGGGGAGCCCAAGTATTGCTTAATTAGAAAAAAAATGTGT